AAGATTGAGGACATTATGCTAAGACTTCTCACAGAAAGTCACTGGGTGATCATATTTTAACAAGTATGGACCAAGAATAATAGAATTCTCTACCAAATGCACATATAGAGAATATATAATAAAAGTAGATGGTGGTTGGCAGGCATGGGGAAGAGGATGATGAGCTGTTGTTGTCTGATGGGTACATGTTCAGTTTTCATTATGATGTTTTTACAGTATGAGCATTGGATACCACTGAAATGTACGTGCAATGCAGTTGAGACAGCGCTATGCATTTGACTATCATAACAATGGGAGAGAGAGGAAGTAGTTTTCTTAACTGGTGAAAGTTAGTAGTTCCCTTCTGAGTCTGGGTCCTGATTCCTCACTTACCAATCATGTGACCTTGGACATGGCATCTGTGACTTTGTCACAAGCTAAATGAGAAAGGACAGCTTGCCATAATGTTTTATATGATTGCCTATGTGGCCACATACCATAATAACCGTCAGTAAGGGTACATGTGAAGCAATATACCACTTTGTGTTCTAATTAGAGGAATTAGATCAGTTGGTTATAGCAGGTGGTCTGTGCCCACTTGTAATAACAATGAGTCTTGGCTGTTACTATTTTGTAACTTCCTCATGTAGGACATAACAAGTGTCCCTGAATTCTCTACATAGAAACTTGGAGGGAATTGAATGTTTGGGCTTCCCAGCTCTGCTCTGTAATAACTGGTTCAGTGTCTCTTGCTGGTCTGTCCTATTACCGTGCATGCGGGTGCTCCCCTGGGTTCTGAAGGAGGTCATTAGCATTCTCAGTTGTAGCCTTGGCTACAGTTCAGTTAATTTAACAAAGGAGTTTAACGACCCCAGATTATTTACACTTTCAGTTGTTTTAGTAAATTGTGTGACAAAGTGTGGTACTTTAACAAGCACAAGGAGCTGTGATCTCAAAAGCTGGAGGAGTGTTTTTAAAACAGCAAAAATGTATACAAAACACTAGTAGTTAATTTGTGTTCCAACAATCTCAGTCAGAGAAGCTCAATAGAATTCCTGCTGCCTGAGCCGGATGCAGCCAGTGACCCCTTCTACCACTGTGCCAACCAGGTATCACGTGTCTCTGTAAGACTTATCTCCTGCACAGGCACAGCAAATTACTAGCAATTGAGATAATGGAAAAGAAAGTCTGAAGGGAAAAGGAAAAGAGGTGGAGAAATGGAAGAGAGGGAGTGGGAGACGATAACGAGAAAATTAGTTTCTGAAGGTAGCCATGAGTCCATGCCAGTGATAGAGTGAGAGAGAGAAAGAGAAGACACAAAGAAACAGAGAATGGGCCTCCCTCCCACTGAATGCAGGAATTGACAAATAAACAAGAAAGGATGGAATTAGAAAATGGCCGTTTCACAATCCTCAATTCAGATTAAGAATTCGAAATGGATGCTCAGCTAACTAGTGGCTGAATGCTAACAGGACACGCAGCTACCTCTTCGAATCATGTACACACAGCGAAGTACCCTTATTTTAGAATATTTATGGCTGACGTTATTAACAGTGAGCCTAACCTCCTGATGAGCTGCCAGGGAGAAGGGCATGCTTTGCTGGGAGCCCTGCTTCAGACATCTCACTTGAATTGAATCACGAGAAAAAATTAGACAATCTAAATAAATTAGCCCTTTGAAATAGGGTCAGATAATTCTCAAGTACACCCGTGATCTCAGTGCTTGGCAGTCTGAGGCGGGGAGGCCAGCCTGGGCATCAGAATGAGATAGAAAAAAGAAATTAAAACAGGAAAGAAAACAAATCATCCCAAGAAAGGCAAACAACAGCAGAGGAAAGGTTCTAGATTGAAGGAGAGTGAAGAATATTTAACCACAGGGCTGGGTAGTAATCACCACACTGGTGGCAACAGCAGCATCAGTGGTTGTTGGGGAAAGGAGCCCTCAGCCAGCCTAGACTAGTGAGTTTCTGGCCAATGAGATATCAGTCTCAAAAATGGGCAAACAGTACCTAAGGAAAACAACACATAAGGTGGTCCTCTGGCTTTGACATACATGTGAACTCATATATGTACACATGCAAGCATACATACATGCACGCACACATTAAAGGTAATTTTTAAATTAAAAAAATTATTGTTGATATGATGGTACTCCTATTTACTCCTATGGTACCCTATTTCTGAGCTCTCCTATTCGGTACTTCATTTTAATCATTATATTGTTTTCAAATCAGATTACAAGTTTGAGAAAAAAGATAGTCATTGACAGTTGTAGTTTTGATAGTGCTTATGACTTTACATTAAAAATGTTAAAAATTTAACATAGTTATTAGCTAAAATTTGAAAAAAACAAATTCATGCTCAAATCATCTTGGGTGTGACACTGCCCTCCTGTTTTCTACCTATCAACATTAGCAGGCACATAATACCAAAGATGGCTATGGACCAATACTCCTCCTGGCATCGGCCTTTCTGGGCTCACCCTCTAGGACTTGGAAGTTTAGCTAATGCTGTCCTATTCTTTTCTACACCTACCACTCACTGTCAGTCCCATAAACTGCCTTCTTCCCTCACGCCTCCATGGAGCCAGCTCACAGTCCAAGCAGTGGCCCCTTCTAATTATGGTGCTATCTATGGGCAGCTAGTCACACTTCCCTGGAGGCGGAGTTGACACTGTTGACCAGTTTCTGCCTCTAAGAACTCTTATGGCCCTTGACTCTCCCCTTTCTGTCCTTCTCTGACCTCCCTGGCTCTTCTTTCTTGGTTGTTTCCTTCCTGGGTTCCTTACTGGCCCATTGCTTCTTGGCTTCTTCTGTCTCCTGAGCTCACCTATGCAACCACTACTTGTTACTCTCCCATGATGTCTTATAAACTAACATCTATACATCTCTACAACTCCTCCCCTTAGCCAGAGTGCCTCATCTCCGAGAACAGCACCAGGCCACTAGAGCTGAGGAGCCAGAGTCCTATCCTTGACCCAGCTCTTAGCCTGGACGCTACTCCTGAATTCCACATCCATGAAGTCTTCCCACTGTCTTCTTCACATTGCTACCACAACCACCAACTTCTATCCTCTAGCCCACTTGCCATCCACACTTAAGATGATCCTATAAACAGAGTTATAATGTTGTCTCCCTGCTGGGGACACCTCAGTGACATTCTGTGATTTCAATGGAAAGTCGGCCTAACATGGCTCACAAGCTCCTTCCTGACAAGGACATTGTGACCACCTCTTTCTACCCTGAGTGTGACTCATGCTTGGAGTGCACTCTGGTCCCTGCCTAGAACGTTCTTTTTGATCCTCTTTATCTATGTAACTCCCACCACCCTTCCTCTAGAGGTACAATTAGGTGTGTATGGACCTAATTGTCATAGCACTGAGTGACTCCTCTGTCATAGCACTTCCCTTCTCATTGATTGCTGCTTGTGCCTTGGCGTTTATACCATCTGTAACCATGAGCAACACTGCACTGAAGCCAAACAAGTCACTTACAGGGCCCAGTTTGATCATGTGTGAATTTGGTACCCTTCCAAAAGTTATTATCCACGCAACACACATTTCTTTTCCTTTTAACTAAATCTTTGAGAAACATCTTTTTCTTCAATGGTTTATTCTAACTCTGAAATACTCAGTTCTATCCACACATATTTTCCTCTAATATATTAATGTACTTTTCTGTCCTTAACCCACATGAACATGCCACTAATTTGGATTCCATTAAATCAAAAATCTGTGACTATTACTTTCAAGTGAGATTATACCAACTTTGAGAAAAATAGACCCAATGACACATGAGTAAAAATTCAGTAGCCCTATCACTGAGAATATTAAATTTTTTTACTAACAAGAAAAGAAAACTCTTGAATTCGGGATTGTGAGTAAAGGACTTACTTTACATGTTACTCTTCTGATTCATTATACATGAAAATGATTTTCAGTTATGGCAATTTTGATTAATATACAAGTGATGAACTGGAGGTTTATATCACCCTATCTTACTCAACTTTTATTTGAGTATATATAAACTTAGAATGGCTTTTGATTTTTCAGTTCAGGAGAACACAGTCCAATCAAACAAAAACTTAAATTGAATATGTATGGTAGCTCTCCTTTATGGTTTCAACTAAGGACTGAATTTTGCTTTAAACATATCACCAAATCTAGTTCTGATGAATGTCAATCAGAGGACAGTTGTGGGGATCTTCCTCCATGTACAGCTGTGGGTCCGTCCTTCCGAAGGTGCACTCTGATTTCCTTCGCTAGAATGGTCCCTTCCAAATGTGAACCTTTTGTTGAAAAATCAGAGTAGCCTCACCATCCCAACCACAATACAGCCTACACTGAACACCCAACTACACAACTGTCTCCTTCTGATCTATGACATCTTTCCACTTCTGGAGCCAGGTAACATGGTGGCAGTAAAGCACAGCTATCTTATAAACATCTTTGGATTGACCCACTTCCTTTTAATTTAGCGAATGGTCTGAATCTGATTTTTCATAAGCTCCAGATTTGTTAGTCAGTTGTACTTTACATGGTTAGCCTAAAGATGCTTTTGACTGCTACCCCCACTCTTAAATGGTATCATACCTATTTCCTAGAAAGCTCTGAATCCTGGGTGCCAATTAAGACAGACTTTCCCCAAGAGAACCCTTTGGTTGCTACCCAAAGCCATTGAATTGATGGGGCATCATTTACTTCAGGAAGTTTACATAATCCATGCTGCTAAATGCTGCCTCCTCACTAATCCCTGCTTCAGATGCCTGCTGCTAATGTGCCCAAGTGATAAATTTCCCTCTACACTGGCTAGTGAAGGCATTTTTGATTGATTTAATAAAGATTCCAATTCCTCCAGGAATTGTGCAAGGCAACACGGGTTTCAAGGAACAACATTTGGAACTGCCTGAAGTCTGTGCACCCAAGGAACTGTGGCCTTGTGATGGAAGCAGCTTTGCTGCCCAGTAGTCACTATCTCTTTGCAGACAAAGAGGTACCTGTGGAGGAGGGGGTCAGTCCTCACCTCTCATCACATTTAATCAGAATCACACTGTCTGTTCCGATTCCTAAGGCTGCAGCTCCCTTCTTGAGAGAAAAGTGACTCTGTAAAGAAAAAAAAAAAGCACATTATGATTAGTTCTTTTTGAAGACAGATCCGCCCTCTCTGCTGAATTTCCTTCTTCTTTGTTTTCCTTACACTTCTCTGATGCCTGGGCTTCTCAGAGGGTAGCCCACTCACTTATGCTGGGCTTATGTTTGTTTTAGTTATTACACATGTGGTTTTTTTACAATTTATTTTTATGTATGTGGATGTTTTGCCTGCATGTATGTCTATGTGCCATGTGGGTGCCCACAAAGGCCAGAAGAGGGCAATGGATCCCTAACGACTAGAGTTACAGACAACAGTGAGCCCCATGTGGGTACTGTGAATTGAATCAAAGTCCTCCAGAAGAGCAGCTAGTCCTCTTAACTTCTCAGCTATCTCTCTAGCCCTCCTATTTATTGTGTTCTAAAATAAATATACTATCTTTACTAATTCTTTAAAAATTTCATATATGCATACAATATATTTTTATGTTTGTCACAACACTCTCCCTGACTTCACCTCCTCCTCCTTCTCCTCCTCTTCCTCCTCTTCTCTTCTTCCTCTTCCTCCTTCTGTATAACCCACTGAGTTCAGTTTGTGCAACCCACATACTCAGGAATGGAGCCATTCATTGGAGCATGGTCAACCTGCCAGAGGACCATCCCCTTAAAGAACGGTTACACTTGCTTCCACGGCAGCCATCATTCTCAGTAGGTGCTCACCTAGGGAGAAGTCTCTGAGTCCCTCCACAGTCTGTTAGAGAATGTAGACTGGCTTTATCTTGTTCAGATTCTCTACAGGCAACTACAGTTTCTGTGAGTTTGTGAATGCAGCTGTCATGTACAGAAGACACTGTTTCTTTCTGGTCTTCCCTGACATCTGGCTCTTATGTTCATTTCACCCCTACCCTCTTCCACGTTAGGCCTCAAGTCTTGTGGGAGGGGTGTGATATAGATGGACCATTTGTGGACGAACACTCCACAGGGTACTTTGACTAGTTCTGGGTTTTTGTGTTAACCACTATTTCCTGAATGAAGAAAGTTCCCTGAAGGGGTCTGAGAGCTACAGTACTCTATGGGTATAGAGACAGGAATTCAGAGAGGAGTATGATGCTGTGTCAAACTTAGGACAATAATGAATAGTAGCAGGTTTACCTCTGGGGCCAATGAGCTCCTCAGCCATAGGTTCTTGGTCAGTTGCCAGGCATGCATTTTCTGCTGTAGAGCATGCTTTAAATCCAACTGGAAACAAGCCATTTACCTCTGTAATGTTCATGCCATTATTGCACCCACGGATTTATCTTGCCAGATTGGTTGTTATCATAGTTAGAAGGGGTCACAGCTGGGTAATCACTCATGGTTTTGAAAATGTTACGGTGAAACACCTAACTGTGTAATTTAAGTGGCATGTTAACCACCTCTGAGAAATAATCATTTCTGCATTCTTAACTATTTTCAGATGTCATACAACAATTACTACCGTCTATTCTTCAGAGCTCTTTTTTTGGGTAATGTGGGGCAATGGACCCCAATGGATAAGAGGTAGCCTGGTCCTCAGTTGAGCTAAGGCTAGAAGCCTCAGAGACACTGAAGGGGCAGTAGGAGCTTTGCCTGCTTCCAGGCACCAGGCCCCTGTCACTAGCTGTAGCTCCCCCCATATATTTGTGGTCATCAGTCACGTAAGGGCAATGCCCCAAGCCCCTCCACATGTAAGACCAAGACAATAGGAAAAGAGATATGACCAGAGGTCAAGTAGACTCTAGACAAAGATCTCCATTTTAATGAGGTACATAAATACCTGGAGAGCTTAGCTAATAAGCTTTCCTTCCCAGACATTCCTCCCTGCAAAAGGTATCTAATCTCAGACACACCCTGAGAAGTGGGGTATGATTTTACAAATCCACTTTCTGCCATGCCTTAAAACCATGGACTGCCTCTTTTCCTCAGGCTCTATCATGGGGAGCCATGGAAAAGGCCTTTGTCTATAGAGTAGCTGCCATCTAGTCTCCTGTAGAAGGCCTCTTTGCACCCCTAGCCACGACCACCACTAAGCCCAAGCCTGCCATCAATTGAAGGACAATCCCTGTGGGACCTCCCTTCTCCCTCTAACTCCCCGGGCTAGATCCAGCCGATGGGGCCCAGATTCCCTTCTCACCTCTTCCAGTGGTGCCTGGGTATTCAAGAGCCTGGGAACTTCATAGCCCCACCTCTTTGCAGGCTTGGGGACCCCTTCCCCCAACTAGCTCCAGCTGTCTCAAGCCTCAGACTGCACTTCCCCAGCCCTGGAGTGGTGTCCCAGGGCTGCCCTATGGCTCACACCCGCCCAGCAAGGGCATAGGGGTATGCATAGTCAAACTTCCTGCATCCCACCTCACCAAGCTTCGGAGCTCTGGGGTGAAGCAGACTTGGGACCCATAACCCTACAGTGTAAAACCAAAATTCTTCAATAAACAGTAACTCCCTACTGTTTCGTTCCTCACCCCTGACAACCACTGCCTGTTCTCTGTCTCTATCAATTAGCCTAAAATAGTTTATGTACTCTTCCTGCCATAGGCAGTCAGACTGCTTCTGTCACTGGCTACTGTGGATAGTTCTGCTAGAAGCACAAGTATACAGATTCTTCTTTAAGAAGCTGTTTTCAATTGTTAAAGGTACATACCTAGAGGCAGAATTACTGGGCCATATGGCTAATATAAAATATAATTTTAACTTCTGACAAACTGCCATACTATATTCTACAGCTACTGTGCTAATTTTACATACCTACCAATAGCGCACAAAGGTTGCCCTTTCTCCACATTCCCACCAATGTTTATGATTTTGCTTTTCTGCTTGTTTTGGAGACAGGATCTTTCTGTGTTGCCCAGAGTATACTTGATTCTCTGGTTTCAAGTAATTCGATTGCCTCAGCATCCTGAAATTGGCTTGTGTTTTTCTGGATCTTCTAGTAGACATGATGGTAACACTTTGTGCTTTTGATGTGTGCTCTCTAATGAGTGACCTAGACTCTCTTCATGTGCTTCTTGGCCCTCTGTACATTTTCTTTTGTGAAATGTCTATTCAAGTACTTCAGTTATTTTTGAATAGGGTTGATTTAGTTATTGTTGTTATTTTTGTTGAGTTCACATGAGTTTCTTCAGGAAATATAAAAACACATTGAGAATTGGATGTGAGGTCCCAGCACAAAGTAACTCTGAACCAATCTCTCTCTCTCTCTCTCTCTCTCTCTCTCTCTGTGTGTGTGTGTGTGTGTGTGTGTGTGTTTGTGTGTTTCCCCTTCATGTCATGTGTGTGTGTATGAGTATGTTAGAGAGAGAGAGACAGAGAGAGACAGAGACAGACAGACAGACAGACAGACACACACACACACACACACACACACACACACACACAGAGAGAGAGAGAGAGAGAGAGAGAGAGAGAGAGAGAGAGAGAGAGAGGCTGAGATTACCAACACTGTGAGCACCTGCTTTTTATGTGAGTTCTAGGGTTCAGAACTCAGTATGTTTTACCCACTGAGCCAGTCCTAGCCCTAAACCAGCTTTTCACAAACACTCAGCAACTGCCTCCAGTAATAATGCACCATGAGACTTTCAAACTTACAATGTACTTTTCAAAGGTTTCCTTCTTTCCTTCCTTCCTTCCTTCCTTCCTTCCTTCCTTCCTTCCTTCCTTCCTTCCTTCCTGTTTTTCTTCTTCTGATTTTTTTTTAATCAGCATACAAACTAATGAGTTTCACTGTGACATTCTCATGGGTATTTTGTTTTCTTTGATCCATCTCTTCTAGTCCTGTCCTCAGTTTTCTTCTGGCTGTTTCCCTTCCTCCTCCAACGATCTTCTGCTTTCACATCACATGTATTGTATTACACCCCCCCAACACCACACACACACACACACACACACACACACACACACATCTTAGGATCTCTTTCTCTTCTTATGCTCCCCTGTATAGTTTCAAGAAACTTTACTAAGTTTTTCACAAATTTAGTGACACTGTATGCATCCAATAGGAAACGAAGTTGACTCTAAGTCCAGCATTCTTCCTCCAGAGTTGAGGAGGTAGAACATATTTGGGACCAGGCAGGTGGGTCATACTGACAGCCCAGTGCCCACTCTTTGTGCTTTTGCTTCCTGTCTGAATTCTGGGTCTTGATGGCTGTAATCACTACAACATTTGAAGAGCTGAGAAAGACTAACGTCAGCCCAGCTGTACAGCATCTGCCCATCAGCCTCTTACTGTTAACTACAGATCATTAAGCTGTCCAGGAGGAGGGCAGCTCCCTCAATTTACATCCCCAAAGGGCTGCTGAGTAGAATTTTAAATTGTGCCTCTAAAGAGGCATGCTCTTCTCTAATGCCCAGTCTCCACTCATCCGAAATTTTAAGTATGCAGTACATGGACTCTTAACATGTATATTTTTAGGGAAACTGTCTAATAAAGCAGAAAAATCACATTTATAACAGCAACAAATAACAACAACCAATAAAGGGAACACACCAAAGGGCTAAGTTCTAAACCCTCACTGTAGCTAGAAGTAACTGGAAAGGGCCATCAGCTTCATTTTACAACTCAGAATGACTAAGTAGATACCTGTCACTAAGCTACCTGGAGTTAGGAGAAAGAGCTCAGTCAGGCCATGGATTTTAAAGATGTATGACACCTGTCCCCTCTCCACCCTTTTGATTGCAAACCAGTGTTCTTTGCATTTGGCAGACTCTAGGAAACCCAGAGTAGAAGTTCAGAGGAAAGCAGTGTTCAGTCCTTTATTGTCAAGAGGGCTCAGAGCAGAGAGACCAGCTGTCCTTGCCGAAAAAGCACAAATACCTCAAATTGTGCCTCTCAGTAAATGTGCTCCGAAGCCTTGATCTGCAAATTGCAGCTAAGTAAGAGATCTGCTGCACCTGCCCATGAAAGGCACAGTCTTGTCTGGTCTTTACTGAGAAAGAACAGGGATCTGTAATTGAGGAGTAATTACAAAGGATAATTGATTGCTGTAAAAATGCCACAGATTTGA